AATATAAATTAGCAATCACATTCTGACACCATGGCATATTTCAAAGATTAAAACCTATTTCTCAACAAAACACTAGATGGTATTATTATTATACAGCAATATTTGCAGCAATATTTTAACCTACATATTCTATAATAAAATAATACTATAAACAGTATTTTTAAATATGTGCTTTTTGACTTTACAAACACAGAATGTTTGATCAAAAAGGTTTCCTAACGAAATATGAATGAACATTAGACAGGGATCAACTCATGGGAAGTTTCATCCATTCTCCAACTTCATTCAAACTTTATACTATGAAACATACTCTGATAACAGCCCCCATTTCTGTGTCAGCTACCAGCAGTAAGGCTTTAATGCTCAGCATGTGATGAGAGATGAAACCAAGTGTGAACAACTTTTCTGGTCCCATGAGTAGGCTGACTGTTGAAGCTGTCAGATTCAATTGCATCATTCCACATTATTCAATGCCCCAAACTGCTCCTTAATTGTTAGGAGCTTAATGTATTCAAAACCACCATTTAGGCTAATGCTGAAATGCTCCACAATTGAGTTCCCAAAAGGTACTAGGAGGGATTAAAGTATAGTTAAACCATCACTGAACACTCATGATTGGATGGCAGGATGTGCAGAATAACCAACCAATTCTAAGTGGGTTTCTTAATTGGTTAGTATCTAATCAATGCATCACCTATGTTTTGGAAAAAAATATGTTCCTAGGAAAAAGACAATTACTGAAATATTTTAGAACTGGAAAAGATCTTGATCTACAGATGAACATAAACTGGCTAATGTTAATCTACCTACATTAGCATGGAATTATGAGTTTTAACAGAAAATGCCAATACTATTTTTAGTAACGGCAGTGTTTCTGTGCAACTTTCTCACTGGTAACCAGGATGTTTCTGTAACCACTGAAATTATTAACTATTAATTCTAATGTACTTTATGGTCTGCAGTTGAACATCAAAATATATGTGAATAGCAGGAAGGATAAGTACTTAAATTATTCCTATTTAATATATGAAAACACTGAGGCTCAGAAAATTAAAAAGGTTACCCAAAACACACTAGTGAGTAGCAAACCTCCTGGAACCCAAGTCTTCTGACTCAAAATTTCCGCTATTTTGCATTGTGTCACAAAAATGGACACAGTACAATTCCCCCCAATGTTTTTCAAAGAGATGCCTGTTAGCATAATAGGCACATAATTGAGAAATTCATTTTTATAATAATAATTGGAAATTAGAGTCGGAATGTCTAGATTTCAGATTTTTACCACTTACCAGATAAGATACATGACCTTGCACTATCATATAACACTTTCATCATCCAACAGTAAGTAACATTACCAAACAGCTATAACTTATTTTGCTCAGAATCAAAACAGATGAAATTTTCATTCTAATCAAGCATGAACACAAGTATCTCCCCCTCCCCTCCACTGCCTCGCCCAATTGAATTTGCATAGGAAACAGGAGAATCAATGTGTCATAATCAGTCATCATCTGAAAAGAAATGAAGGGCTACATTTAAGACAATCCCCCCAATACATACACACCCATTACAGTACTAGAAAACAAAATATTTAAAGTTAATTGAGGTAACAGTGTCACAGAAATATGTAAAACTTTAGTCACTAAACTGTACCTTTAAAATATCAGCAATACTAGTTATCATATAAATCTGGAAGTTTATTTAATATTAAGTGATTTTTTTTTAAACCTCTCTCACTCTTATAATATGAGGTAAGACAAGAAACTGTGATCATCTATCTACATGAAGATGGTGTACAAAAACAAAGCTCAGAATGCAGGGTATAATACAACACAATTGTTTATTACATTCACTCTTAAATTTTCCTATTAAAGAAATCACTCTTCAAACGAAAGCACGTACATTCTCCCCAAGACAAAACAGAATGCAAGAACTGGGGAACAGTGGGATTTGAAAGGCAAAATGAAAAATTAATGGTACTTTACAGACACTAATTTATATCTCTACTCATGATCCAACAAGGGAAGCAAAATAATTTAACAATGATATGGACAGGAGTTCTACCTTCCAAAAATGTTAAGGAACTATAACTATTACTAATATCCCACCAAGAGTTAATGTGGGTTTTCTATCAATTAGTTATTTGTAAAAGGACATTTATTCTAAAAAAAAAAAAAAAACAAAAAAAGTATAATATATCAAATACAACAAAAGGATTTAACACAAGATATAAAATTGGGTTATCAGTTTTTTACAAAAACTTTTAAACTTGGGTAGGTAATCATTAGAGTTCCTTATCTTCCCACAATTTTAAACTATTTCCTTTTTTTCCCATTAAAAGCCCAAATCAAGGTATTCTTAGCTTTTAATTTCTATTAACCTATCTTGATTTTACTTCTCTGTTCACTTTCTAGGAAATAATTTGTAAGACAACAGCTAAATAAAAGGTCTCTCTACCTTATTTACAATGAAGATCAGAATGAAGAAGAATGAACCCTTAGACTTATCTTGCTAGCACCAACCCAAGCCACTAAAAAATTACTATTTCATTAAGTTTTATGGGGAAGGGTTGGTAAATAAAAAGTTATTCAAGTTTAGTATTTCTATTATCTGTCCATATTTTTTTAAGTATTTGCTTGCTAATATGATGGTTTTCTTTTCTCCTCATCCTCACCCCCAAGTGTTGGGAACCAAGGGCTGTGCACATGCTAGGCAATTATGATATTCTTAATAACTTTAGCAAGACTTCTACAATTATACTTTAAATATTACTAATTTCCATTTACCCACTTATCTTATCACATCGCTCTCTTCATTTTAAATGTTACCTATAAAGCATATCTAAATAAAATGTTAAGGTACCTTAATACACTGAATTGTATGGTTCAAAGACAAACAAAACCTACACTAGGGTTAAATAGAAATGAACTCGTGTCATGGGAGGGGGGGGGGGAAGAAGGACTCAATTACCAATTTTAAGAGTCCTATTATTTCTACCTAAATATTTTTATATACTTTCCCTTGCATGTTGCCTAGAACAGTTCACATTTTCACATTCAAAACATTACTATTGTCCCAAGGAGCTAAATTGAAGTAGTTCTGAAATCAGTTCAACTGAGAGGTCAACGTGCCTCAGTTGCCTGGAGACTGATGGTTGCTACAGCAGCACCAGATAAGCCAGACTAAATAAGCTTCAGCTTCTAGGCAGAAAGCGTTTACTGCTAGACAGCAACACAGATGCAATTGTCTCAGCATGCAGCATTTGAATCTAACTGGATCATCACATTTATAAGTGACCCATCTTAACAAAACATGGACAGGGGATAAAAAGTAAAGATTTTAATTGGACTGAATCCTGGATTACTTGCAACTATGATTTCTTTGTTCAACAGTTAAGTCACATGTTAAATAGAATTTTTCCCTCTAGCTATAAATTTCTCTTCAGCACCACTTCCCCCCATCCACCTCTCCCTAAAGCCAGTCCTCAAACACACAAACATAATGATTACGTAACAAATGAGATTTTTGCTTCGTTCAGCCTGGAATTTACCAAATAATTAAAACAGATTTTTATAAAGACAGAAAAGAAAATGCACATTGAAAATGTTCATGTGATACTTGGTCCAAGGATATTAAGCTATCAAGCATAATGGTTACACTTAATTTTTAAAAAAGAAATAAAACTATTTATGAGAGCCATTCTTTAATTTATCCTTTCACCCTCCCTAGGCCAAGCCTTATTATTATATATTATGGCCACCTCACTTTTCTAGTGACATCATAAGCTAAAAAAACCCTTCCTAAAGTAATCAAATGCCCCCTATTCAAAATGAGAGGTTCACCAAATATTTAACTTTCATCTCCAAAGATGATACTACTAATCATGCCATTGATTTTCTGAGCTGAATGGTCTATGTTCATTCTAGTATTTGGCTTTATTTTAATGGTGATTGTTTACACTCCATCACTTACACGCATGCATTAAGAACAACCTAATGTTGTGCTTTCACATGCAACTTAAAGAAAATGCATGTGATATTCTAAAGTACCATACAATAGAAATTACCTAAACATACATAAGTGCTTTTTTGTTGCTGTTGTTTGTTTTTGTCTTGTGATGCCTGGGATCAAACCGAGGGGCTTCACACATTCTAGGCAAGGGCTCCACCCCTGAGCTATACTTCTAGCTGCAAAGCTCAGGTTTATAGCAACATATATGCAACTACTTAACTAGTTGTAATTGTAGTCATTATTGCAATTTTTTCAAAGTGTTAAAACTACTAAGATATGAGAAATGAACATTAAATTATAAAGAATTCCAAATGAATAAAAAAATATACATGTTAAGAATCTTTACTGTTACCTTTGGGGAGGTGTGTGCATGTGCATAGCTTTACCCATCTATTGTCCTAGTCGTAAAATTCGTATTTTTCTTATTTGATGCTTGCTTTTAAAATGTTTCTGTAGACTAGGGCATCTACTGAACTACAGATCTAAAGTGAGGTAAAAGGAATGAGGATAGGAAAACCATTATTTGCAAACTTTATGAATATCTGTTGTCTTCCACTAGGAGGAAAACAATGTAGTGGTTAAAGGCATCATTCCTCCTTTACACAATGTTCTCCTATGATAGTTTTAAAATTGTAGACAGCAGATCTTCATGTATTATTTGTGTGATTTTTAAAATTTGTTTTAAATTCACAGAAGTACAAAATTGGCTCACATTTTGTGAATTCTACTTTTCAAAGAAAAGAAAAAGAACACCCTGAAAATTACTATTTTATATCCTCACAATAAAATGAGAAACCAAGAAACTGAAAAGAATCAAATGGTGTCCACTCATTTGTCCTCTTCTCATGAAGATCATGTTAAAAAAGACTCCTATAGAGCTGTATTGCATTTGTTTTTCCTCCAACCAAACTTACCTGAAAAAAAGAAAAGAAAAAAAAAAAGCAGCAAACTTATCTAAATGCCACGCTATAGCATTAACAATAACGTACTTGAGTTGTAGCAGCTGCAGGGGGTACAGACGATGCAGCTGAGGGGGAAAGCGCTCCCACCTGCTGCAAATGCCCAGAAGATTGCTGAGGTAAATGAGAGCTGGAGACAGGAGTACTAGATCCTGAGCCAGATATTACATTTGGAAAGGATGCTGCTACATCATTGTTGTTATAAATACCTGCAAGAAAAGAAATTTTATTTAAATATCTTATAGTAAAATTTGTAACAGACATAAAATATTAATCAATAAGCTACTAACATTTCTTCCTGATTCCTTCCACCTTCCATAATAAATTTTATTGTTAGGGCTGGAGATATGGCTCAAGCAATAGAGTGCCTGCCTGGCAAGCATGAGGACCTTAGTTCAAACCCCGGTATCACCCCCCCTCCAAAATTATAAATTTTATGTTAAAAAATGTACTACAGTAAGTGCGTAAACATTGATGTTAAAAAATGTACTACAATAAATACATAAACACTGAGTTTTCTGTAAGAACCTAAGTCATTCTTCATTTGGTAAAATATTTGTGTTATAAAAAGACAGGGACCACATCTCGTGTGTGTGCGTGTGCGTGCGCGTGTGTGTGTGTGCGTGTGTGTGTGTGTAGCTATAGGAGCCTTGTTCTAGGAAGGCTACAATGTAGAACAGGACTACACTTGAAAGTGGGACTACACTTGAAAATGAGTCAATAAAGAAGCTGTGACAAAACTGTGAGAATGAACAACAGAGGTGGGTTCTACAGACAGTTAGGAAATAGACCAAACAGAACCTTACCACGTGGCTACATGGGGGGTGTGAGCAGTGGGAATGAGGGAAGAGGAAGAATTAAAGCATGATGATGACATGAATGACTAGGTGGTAGTACCACTGCCTACTGGGGTCACAAGAGATAAACAATGAAAAGACTTGATGAAAACATTTTCAGTTGTTCCATGGGGTAAAAGCCAGAAGGAAAAAAAAAAAAGAGTAGGAAGTGAAAACTCCTTCTGAAAAAACAAAAGAGGAAGCAATAAGGACATGAGCCTACATTAAGTGGAAACAAGTAGTTACCGGGGAAAAACAACTTTTTCTTTAATAGGCAAAATTGCCCGTTTATGCTGATAACAAAAAGCTCATAGAGAAGGAGAGGTTCTTTGAGGATAAGAGACAGAACATCTAAGAACAGGTAGTTCTCACCAAGTGAATCTTTTACCCCACATAGGGACATTTGAAATGTCTAGAGACATTTTTAGTTGACAAAATAGAGTGCTACTAGTATCCAGTGGGTAGAGTCCAAGGATGCCACTAGTGCAGAACAGTCTCCAAGGTCGTAGAGTAGCTCAAGTGGTAGAGCGCCTGCTTAGCAAGCGTGAGACCCTGAGTTCAAATCCCAGAACCATCAAAAAAAAAAAATAAAGTCTCCAGGACAACTAATTACTTGGCTCAAAGTGTTGAGGTGATGAAGACTGAAAAAGCTTGCTACAAACCAGGGCTGGAGAGAAGGGAGAGGAAGATCAAGAGAATCTGGCACTTAAAGAGGAGCTGGAAAGAATGAACTAAGTGGGCTGCAGTCAAAAAAATGCAGAAAGTATAGCCCTAGATGGGAACAATGTTTATCAATTATATCAGTACTATTTGCCTTGTTTCAAAGAACATAAATACTATCAATTCATATTTATAAAAACACCTACTACCTTTTGCAAACAAGGAAAATAAAAGAATAGGGGTAATTTCAAAGTCCTTACAACTATAATTTAGGCTCCTAGATCCTTTTTATATCCACAATTTCTTTAGGAAAAATATCTATTCATTCTGCAAATATTTAAGAACTCACTGTTTACTGGACATTATTGTAAGCTTGGATATCATTATTCAAGCTATGTGGTCTCTGCTAAAAACTTAGCAGAAAAAAGAAAAATGCATTTCTGGAAGAAATAGTGGCTTTGAAGCTAATTTCTGAAGGCACTGCAAAACTGAGGAGAAGGGTGGTCTCAGAAAGAAACATGAGACAGAAAAAGCAAGGCAAATTCTAAGAACTTATAAGTACCATCTATATACTTTACACAAGAAGATCAGGGACCAAATCAAGAGCATTAAAAGCTAAAATGTTCAAGTTTAGAGACACCTGAAGGGTTTTAAGCAAAACCTGTGTGATCACATTGGTAATTAAGCAAAACATAAACCGAGGGCAGTAGGCTGAGAGAACATTGTGAAATGCTGCTGCACTACTACTGCTGAACAAAAGTAGAGAGTAATCCAAGGTAACGGCAGTTCAGAGACAGGAAAAAGGCCAAGTTCAAGGGACGTGATGACTAATTAGATCTGAAAAATAAAAATGAGCCAACAGTCCACAATGACTCTTAAGTACCAGTAAGTGATAATGGTGATAGCACTCATGGAAACAGGAATCACAGTTGAGAGCTATCAGTATTTGATTTCCATGTGCAGGTAACTGTGCTTGGTAATAGCTCAATATGGTAAATATTACTGTCCTTTTACATATAAGCAAACAGAAGAAATAAAGTAATTTGCTTGGTTATCTAAGAGATGGCAGAATCAGGATTCAAACTCCTTGTCTGACATTATAATAGAAATCACTTCCATTATAGCCTTTCCAAGTCCTATAGGATGCAGGATGCCCAAAGTACTGAATCCAATGGGATGAGCCTTAAACTCAGGGAAAAGCAAAAAAGGAAAACAAAATGAACAAACAAACAAAAAAACAGGTCCGGAGACAGAAATCTCAAACTCAGAAGCAAGTTAGAGTAAGTAAACTTGCAAACTCAAAAAGACTTTGTGTTGGCCTATATTTTGGCTAAATTTTTTAACTAATTGCTCCTATTTAGGAATGTGGAAATTCCACATTAAAAAGTCTAAATTTCTAACTTCTCTTGAGAAACTGAACACCTATCACACTAGCTATTACATTCTGAGACAGCAGCAATTTGGCTGGAGCTTTGGAAAGGACACAGATACTTAACCAATCAGTTCCCATTGTGCTTCACTATGTCACTTGTTTTATCACTCACTATGTTACCCACCTGGTTCCTGTAAGTATTTAATTTACCACTTCTGATATGGAAACTGGACATAGCCAAGGAACAAAAATGATACCACCCAAGGGAATTTTCAGCATGATCAAGAGAAGAGGACCTCCCAGGTACCAGTGGCTCACACCTGTAATCCTAGTTACTTGGGAGGCTGAGATCGGGAATATCTAAGGCCAACCCAGGCAAAATAGTCTGCAAGCCCTCATCTCCAAAATAACCAAAGCAAAATGGACTGAAGGTGTGGATCAAATGGTAGAGCCACAGCTTTGCAAGCACAAAAGCCTTGAGTTCAAACCCCAGTCCCCCCAGAGAGAGAGAGAGAGTGAGAGTGAGAGAGAGAGAGAGAGAGAGAGAGAGAGAGAGAGAGAGAGAAGAGGACCAAAGATTAAACCTTCAGGAACAGTACCATTTAAAGGACTGACAAAAGTAAGAGCACAAAAGACAAACTTAGAAAATGAAGATATATTAGAAACCAGTAAAAAGAAATTAAAAGGAAAAGGTCAAACTAATCTACAGGTCATTTAAACTAAGTCTAGAAAAGGACTTTTTTTTATTGCCACATTACTAAATGTGGCAATAAATCTTGACAAGATGACTCTTAATAAAAGTTTGGTTGGGCAGGACAGAAAAGAGACAGCATGTTAATGACATTAAATATTCATAAAACTTACACTCCAAAGACAGGCACATAACCTATCTGAGAAAAATATCTACTTTTAAAAAGTTGATTATTCCAATAGCTCATTCAATATATAACTGTTTTCTATTACAAAAAGATACTGAAGACTGTGAAAAAAGAAAAAGAAAAGAATTCTGCCTAAACACCCTCAAGCAGTAGTAATCAGTGTTGATAAGCTACTAAAATACAGTAGAGAAATATGGGTACATAGGACACACAGGAAATGTACTTCAGAGGAAGATTCAGGTGAAGAGCTACAGAAACACTTGCATTTTTTTCAAAGTATCTTAAAAAGATAAAACACTCATTACCCAGTAATTGTGAGGGAGAAAAACCTACTCTACGTGCAGTCTCCAACTTTTAAAATGAAAAAGTTAGGTGGAGGCACATTATAATTAGAACAGCACAAACTTTTTTTTTTAAACACAAACTTTTGAGACAAAATTAAGTCCAAATTCTGATTTTTCCAACTATGTAATCTTAATCAAAATTATTTACTGTTTCTGAGCCTCCATATTATTATCTAGAAAACAAAAATAATAGCTACTGAATTTGAGAATATCTATTTATAAAGGTTTTAGCAATGCTTATCCCACAGTGAATTTCAATAAAATGGTAGTAGCTATAGTTATTTTGGTATTTTAAGCTCTAATCAAAAATTTATATGTAAGTCAACTCAAGTACATGTCAAGTCGTTTAATGCCACTATTACACTTTGAAAGTTGCAATTGCTATGACCATATGCAGTAATGTATCATGAAAATATCATATTGAAAAGCAAAACTGTGGTGACTGAGGACCTTCAATCCTGAAAAATAACTTGTTTTGATAGCACATTAATATATACTCAAATAGAAAGTGTCACAGCTACACATGCAATCTAGTGATCACCCTTTGAAACTGTATGTGGCACTCCAGTTTCTGCTACAAAATACAACAAATTAAAATTCCAAGCAAGTAGCTTAAAATCCTACATCTTTCTTTTTAAATGAAGATCACTGATTTTTTCATATCCTTTACAATTCAGGTATGACTGATACAGCATGGACACTTTACTAAGACTTCTAGATCATTCTTCACAAGAAAATTGCTGCTCTTAAAATTGTTCTTGTATCTGCTTTCTATTTAACTTCTATTTCCATCTTTTACAAGTAGTATACTTTTCAAATCAAATCAAATTAACATTCATTGAGTTAAGTAGAACTAAATTCTATAACCTACTAGCTCTAAGAAAATACTCTAAATTGCATGTGTTTGGGATAGAGAACAGAAAAATGCAAAATGACAGAAAGAATGGAAATGACATACTGATCCACATTCATTTATCCATCAACCTATCTATCCCTGTATCTCTCCAACCACACTGCAAACAAATAGTAAGTAGCTACTAAGAAATGGCAATTTGCGAGGAGCAGGGAGTAAAATATGGAAAAAAACAAACAAGATAAAATCTCTGCTCTCCAGGAATT